CCACAACACCTGGCTAGTTTTTCTATTTTTAGTAGAGATGGGTTCTCGCTCTTACTCAGGCTGGTCTCAAACTTCTGAACTCAGGTGACCCACCCACTTCAGCCTCCCAGAGTGGTAGGGTTACAGCCGTGAGCCACGGTGCTCAACTCACACCAGAGTGATAGGGTTATAGCCGTGAGCTGCCGTGCCAGGCTCGCACCAGAGTGGTATGGTTACAGCCATGAGTCGCTGTGCCTGGCTCACAGTAAAGGATTTTCAATCCACTGAGTCCAGTTAGACACAGCACTAAAACTTTACAAACAACTTTGAGTATTACAAATATAGACCAGATAAATATTAAATCAATATTAAATATTTTAAACCTTGACATTATAAAATTGATAACTGAAAAAGTAGGAAATGATTTACTCAGCAAATCTGTTTTAAGCACTGATTCTGTACTAGGTCCTAAGGATATTGTAATGAGCAAGAATTTGAACGCTATTACACTAGAATGAGCAAACTATAAAATTATAGTACTGGCATTGAAATCTGTTTAGTTTCCAATCTTCTCCTGATTCTAGCAACAGAACACCTCTTTCCAGTAGACAACATTTCCTTTGGTGCAGGCGGATACCATGCCGTTCTCTCCTTACTTAAAAGTGCCAATTCAGACCATCCCAGCCCTCTAACCACCGTGATTATTTCTAGACTGGGCATATGATCAAAGGTGGGCCAGTCCCTGGAAATTTCCTCACAGAGTTATCATGAACAATTAATTCACACTGGTGTTGCTTAGTTAGCAGGACTTGACTCTGGGTCTCAGTGGTCATCTTGGCCTTGATCTAGAGACTGATTGGAGGAAGAGCCTTGATGATGTTGTGTCTTGAGTCTTACTAAAATCATCTATGCCACTGACCTTTCCAGTTATGGACTTTTTAGCTTAAGCTTGTTGGAATTGGATTTCATTATTTTCAACTGAAAGATGTTCGTCAAATTCTAGTGTGAGTATTATAATGGAAGTTCAAGGTGATACAGGAGCACTCAGTAGTAGCACATACATAAATTCTCTTCACAGTTCCCACACATGCACTTGTGATATCTTTCAGTGTTTATTATATTTTAAACATTTACCCTCAAACTGCTATTGGTTTTATTTCACAGTTATGACAACAACAAAAAAATAGCAGATGGAAGGGAAGAGTGGTAAGAGGAAGTTTTAGAATGCTGGTTTCTCATGGCCGGGAGTTAAACGTGAAACACATGTTTAAAAAGCATGACTCTAAACCAGTGAGGAAAGACAATCAAAGAAACGCTGGCTGGAGACCCGGTCAGCAGTGCACCAAAGACAGTGAACACCCAGAGGAGCTCGGTCTCACTCGTCCTCAGGGAAATGCGTGTTGAAACCACAGAGGGTTACTCAGCCCCTCCTCCAGAATGGTTGAAATTTAGGGAGAGGATGTGTAGCGTCAGGAACCTCTCACACTGCTGGTAAGATTGTAAGTTGCTACAGCACTTTGGAAAACTGCCTGTATGGACAGATCCTGAACATACGCACCCTCGATTACTCTGTGCTTCTGCCTCTAGGTATAAGCCCAAGGAAGAGGGTGCTTATGTTAACCAAGAGACCCATGAGTGTTCATAGCAGCACGATTCATGCCAGCCGAAGACTAGAAACACTGAAATTCTCATCTATAGTAGAGTGAATCAATAATCATTCACATTACAGAAATTGTGCATTAATGACTGTCCATGATAAACAATTATTATGCAATAATATGATGAATCTCACAGAAGTAATGCTGAGTGAAAATGCCAAACCAAAAGACTACATCATGTATGATTTCACTTA